CTCCCACAGAGTGGGTCTCCTCAGGGTGCCGTCAGCCAGACAGTGCCGGCTGGCGACCCCCAGGGGGAGGGCCTTCTCGGTGGGAGCCCCCACCCTCTGGAACGAACTACCCCCAGAGATCCGGGTGATCCCGGATCTCCCCTCCTTCCGCCGCACCCTAAAGACATGGCTTTTTCAACAAGCGGGTCTGGCCTAGGGATTTTTAGCGGGGTTTTTAAGGGTATTTTAAGGATAATTTTAATGATCGGCCTTCTTAAATATTTCCTTTTAATTCGGTTTTTAATAGATATCATTGTATTTGTATTGTGGTTTTTATGAGGCTGTTAGCCGCTCTGAGTCCCATGAGGAGAAGGGTGGGGTACAAATTAAATTAATAAAATAAATAATAAATAAATAAATAAGGTTATGGCTAAATTCCAAGCTGGTATACTTTCATAGTTTTGAAGAAATGGGAAATAAAAACTAGATTTCCTAGTTTGGTATGGTAAAATAACAAAAGAGACTGTACACAATGTTATCTAAATGTGTCACCCACAGAAAATTTTAGCATAGGATGTTCCTATTATGTCTTTTCACTGCCAGGTCAGGTAAAATAATCAGTGCAAAGAGTGCAGTTTGCCGACTATTTATATAAATTAGCTTGCCCTGCCAGTCTTGGTGGAATTGTGGCTTCCAGTTTTTTTTGTTTTGATTAGGGTGTTGTTTCTTCATTGACTGCTTATCTGGTGCTGTTTTAATCTGGGTATTGGCTGCTGGTTGGTAAGGTTTATCTATCTGTGTCTATTGATGGCTGATTCTGGCAGGAATTATCAAGCAATTTTGAATTTGTGTACCTAAAATATAAACAGCTTCTCAAACTGGTTGAGTCCATCTATGAGTTGTGAGATTAAGGAGTTAACAGTTCATCTTCACCTGTCTGTTCTATGTAGTGACTGTCACCGTCTTTACATTGCGTGGTATAGATGACTTCTGTTTTTCTTACTTGATTTCTCGGTTTACTAGAACCGAGCACTGTATATGTCAGAAGGCAGGAAAATGGGAGACATGTAAATGGCATCCATAATCTACATGAAAGTACAACTATTCTTTCTCCATGAATGCCTACATCTGCATGCCCTGCCCACCAGTATAAGATATAGACCTTGAATAAACTGTGCAACTTGGTAGATCATAGTTCAACAACAGACACTCATGAACACACACGATAGGTAGACAGACAGACACTCTTTTGTGCTTCTGAATAATGCTTTTAAATAACCTTTTTCTGGAGACATACTTTTTGATTGCTTTTACTGTTTTTTTTTTTAAAAAATAAGGTGGTTTAAGACATGCATCTGCCAGTATAAAAGGCCTTGAAGTATATGGACAATTGAAGTTTGAAGGAGGAGTACATCGTGTTCAGCGCGTGCCAAAGACTGAGAAGCAAGGCCGCATTCATACCAGCACAATGACTGTAGCAATATTACCACAGCCGAGTGAGGTATGCGGTTACTATAAGTATTTGGCCCAATCATTCTGCATTCAGATAAGAGGATTCCATTCAATTACACTTTTTTCCCTACTTATTTAGACTAAATTAGCATTAATAAAGTCACCAAATCTTACAGCATAAATAATTTATAAAGTTTGTTGAGTTTGGGACAAACTCTAAATTGTTGTTAGAGAATGAGTGAAGTGTTTCTTTCCTGTTCCAGATAACTCTGACAATTAATCCTAAAGACTTACGTATTGAGACTAAAAGAGCCAGTGGAGCTGGTGGCCAGCATGTGAATACTACTGATAGTGCTGTGCGGATTGTCCATATTCCCTCAGGTATTAGATCAGGACTTTCAAATGAGTTCCTTGTTGTTGTTGTTTTGAAATATGCTCCCATGTTTTATATGATGATGCTCAGTAACAAGATACCCGCTTCATAG